AGGACAAATGATTTATGGAATCAATAAAACGTTCAATACAACTAGTTGTAATGCCGGCTGTAATGTGTCGGTAATTCCCGTCATTTTTAGGATCCCCTTAATAGCATAGTAAAATCTATAAATAGGGGCGAATCGCGTGGATCGTGTAAGAGAATCATTTATGTTATAGAAAGTAAAGGACTTATGGAGAATTTTGAGATGATCACTGTAGAATATTTAAAGAAAAAAGGTATGGAAGAGGGAATAACTAATATATTAAACTGATATATTAAAGGCAGTATTTAATGTAATAAAAGATGAATTGTTGATATAATTAATGACTCTTTAAGGAAAGGTCCGGATGGTTGAAAAACATCTGCGATAATTCCAAAGATAAAAAAAGCTAAAAAAGCAACGAATTATAGACCTATTAATATGCTATCAATATTTGAAAAAGTATTAGAATTGTAGTAAAAGATCAGATTAAAGCGTACTTAAAATAATAGTATTATAATTGAATATCAGTCGGGATTTAGGAAACAATACTCGTGTGAGACAACGATCCAAACTGTCATTGACGAATGGAAATTAATAGTCAATGAGAGGAAAATAATCAGAATAATCTTCATGGATCTTAAACGATCATTTGAAACAATAGATAGGCATAGATTGTTAGAGAAATTATACCAATACGTTAGAATAGTTTAAATCGTATTTAAAAAATAGAACACAGCGGGTTCGCTTTAATAATAAATGGTCTAAATTATCACAGAACGTAAAGTGTTATCTGTCTTAGAACCTTTGTTGTTTGTAATTTATATAAATGATATAATCAAAGTCTGTCCAGAAAAATACAATATAAAAATGTTTGCGGATGATACGCTAATATATGTAGCGGGAGATAGCAGTGTGGATTTAGAGAAAATGAATATGGTACTTAATATAATAGAAGAATAAATGAATATAAATAAACTAAAGATGTGCACTATCAGGAAGAAACGCGTTTTTTTCCCGATGGCACACATTACCTGATAAGTTAACAACAATACATTGAATATGATTAATTTCAAAATAGCCAATTTGGACGGTCGTCAATCGGGACGGTGGTCAAACGGGATTGTGGCCAAACGGGACTGTGAGCAATCGGGATGGTGATCAATCAGGACGGTGGTCAATTGCAACATGGTCAATATCAGCGTAATCAATCGCAACGTGATCAATTGGGACTGTGTTCAATATTAACATGGTTAAATGGGTGCTCTGCAAAAAGCGCAAACCGGGCTATGAGGGATACAGTGCGACAGGTATACCAAAGTGAACAATATGCTGCAAGCGTTTATGTCAATAAGACAGAGGCTATATTATAATGTGTGTACGAGGGTAGTCTGAAAAGTTTTGAGCCTAACATAGAAACAAGTATTTTTTCGGTCAAATATAATTTTATTTTTCAACATAATCTCCTTTTAAGTCGATACACTTTTCCCATCGATACTGTAATCTCTTTAAATAGTAGTTGGCGTCTTGCCCCGCAAAATAGGCGTTTACGTATGCGATGATCTCCTCGTTTGATGAAAATCTCTGTCTTCCAAGCGAAACTTTAAGCTTAGGAAACAGGAAAAAGTCGCTGGGGGCCAAATCTGGTGAATACGGTGGGTGGTCAATCAATTCGAAGTACAGTTCGTGAATTTTGGCCATCACCGAAATGTGCGTTGTCTTGACGGAACAGCACTTTCTTCTTCTTCAAATGCGGCCGTTTTTTTTGCAATTTCTGCCTTCAGCTTATCAAGTAATGATGCGTAATACGCTCCCGTTATTGTTTTACCTTTTTCAAGATAGTCGATACACGTTCCGTGACTATCCCAAAAAACAGTCGCCATTACTTTCCCAGCTGATGGAACCGTTTTCACCTTTTTCGGAGCAGGTTCATCCTTTGCAGTCCATTGTTTTGACTGTTCTTTTGTCTCTGGAGTGTAGTGGATCCAAGTTTCATCTATAGTTATGAATCGACGCAAAAAATCTGACTCGTTTCGCTTGAACCGCTCCAACAGGGCCTTGGAAATGTTCATTCGAATTCGTTTTTGGTCCAAAGTGAGCAAGCGCGGCAACCAACGTGCGGATAGCTTGCGCATATCCAATTCTTCAGTCAATATATGACAAACACGTTCTTTCGATATGCCCATAGCTTCTGCTATTTCTCTAACCTTGATTCGACGGTCGTCCAGTACCATTTGGTGAACATTTTCGATGTTCACCAAATGGTACTGGACGACCGTCATCAGCGGTGGTCGCAGTTTTTCGCCGTCCCGAACGCTCATCATCAGCCAAGCTGGTACGACTACGTTTAAATTCAGCTGCCCATCTTTTTACGATGGCAAATGATGAGGCAGAGTCCCCGTAAACAGCGTCCAACTCTATTTTAATTTGCGCAGGCGTATTGCCTTTCAAATGTAAGAATTTAATCACGGCACGATATTCAATTTTTTCCATTTTTACAAAAACACTGACATCGACTGACACAAATGACTGTCAAACAACAACTGAACGTCCAAAATAACTGAAATTTTCACAAAAGTCTTTCAAAGCATATACTATTGTAGTATTAGACTGGTTTTGACGAGTAACGTCATCTTCATGTTAAGATTCAAAACTTTTCAGACTACCTTCGTACATTTAAGAGTTTAAAAAATATGCTACCGAAACAATTACGAAATAGGTTAGATCGTGATAAGAAATAAGAGAGACATACATGACAGGCCGAAGATATTGTTCTGCGATATAGTTCCGCAAAACAAAGAGTGCGCAAAAGAGCATGTTCTATGAAGGAATAAAAATGTACAATGCCTTGCCAACCGAGATAAAATTATGCGAAGAAATTCGGCTGTTTAACGATTAATGTTAAAAGAATATATTTTAAGTATAATTTAAATTTGTATCACAAATAGCTAAAAAAGCTTCAATAACTTTCTCTCTCTCTCTTTCTCTCTCTCTCTCTCTCTCTCTCTCTCTCTCTCTCTCTCTCTCTCTCTCTCTCTCTCTTCCTCGTTCTCTTTCGCTCGCTCCTTTCGTACGCACGCACGCACGCACGCACGCACGCACGCACGCATGCATGCAGAGCCTAAAATTCTATATTTAATTCTAGTCGCACAAACGCATAACTTGCTCACATATACACGCTGACGAATATTTTTATTCTTGTGACATCTTATTTTTTTCATTTAGTCAAAATTTTATATATATATATATTTATTCGTGTTTTTTTTATATTTAGAGGTCTGACAAGGAGATAGCAAGACTTGTGAAATACAAAATTGAATGAACTATAGTTCATTCGAAAGGGGAGGTCGAGAGTATAAAAAGTGTAAAAGGGTTTGAGTGCATGGGCCTTAATTTCGGAGAAATTTGCATACAAAGTTAGGTATTCGGCTAGCTGTACGATAAATATTATGAATAGTTTAAATTAAGCGTGAACCGCCGAAGCTGTACAGTCTAAGGTTCGCGCGTGTAATCTTTTTCTTCTGTGGCGAGGAGAGTTCGAGACCTCGCAGTGACAACTTTTTTTTTTAATAACGGCTATATTTTGTCGACAAAATTAATTTTTGTTATTATTTGTAATAAATTATTTGTAATATTAATAATTATACATTATTATATATATTAAAAAATAACCACAATTTTTGTATATATATTAATATTTATTTCTTTTTATTTATTATAAATTATTATAAATCGGACATTGCATCACAATATTGTGGGTAAAAATTGAAATAAAAACATTGGAAACACAAGTAGATCGCACATTATTTGATAAAAGAATAATTTTTTTAATTTTTATTTCAATTTTCACCCACAACATTGTGATAAAATGTCGGAATTTTATAATAAATAAAAAGAAATAAATAAACATTACAATATGTATAAAAATTGTCGTTTTATTTTTAATACATATAATAATAATGTATAATTATTAATATGTTATTACAAATAATGACAAAAGCTGATGACAAAAAATTAATTTTGTCGACAAAATATAGTTATTAAAAAAAAAGTTGTTACTGCGAAGTCTCGAACTCTCCTCGCCACAGAAGAAAAAGATTACGTGCTTAGACTGTGCAGATACGGTACTTCACGCTTAGTTTGAATTATTCATAATATTTATCATATAGCTAACCAAATGCCTAACATTGTATGTAAATTTCTCTGAAATTAAGGCCCATGCACTCAAACCCTTTTACACTTTTTATACTCTCGACCTTCCCTTTCAAATAGCTCATTCAATTTTGTATTTCACAATTCTTGCCATCTCCTTGTGAGTAATGCCAAATGTTTTTATATAAACATTTTTTTTATTTAAATAAAATTTTTTATCATTTATTTTGTTACTCTTTAATTCTTTGTGATAAAAACTTAGGTTGAGTAAAGCAATTTTGTTATATAATAATATTTTAAAGCTAAATAATAATTACTATCATTTGGGTTAAAAAAGAGAGTCTTGAATAGATAAAAAGATATATATCATTTGGTTTTTATTATTTTTAAATTAAAGATACTACCGCTTGGATTTTATTTTTTTTAAATAGTGATATATTAAATCTTTTATACAAATGAAATATATAATTTGACTAAGGTAGACTTGTAGCTATGTTTATAAGACTATAACTTGGCGCCAGTTATTGATATCAAATCTTTTATAAAAATAATAATGACGATGTTTCTTAAAGTAAAAATTTATGAATCGGACTTTGTGTAGTAATATCTTCGCTTCTAGGGCACGTATATTCTTTTACTTGACACCCTTTTTACCTTTTTTTTTGTTGGTCTGATTTGTGATCTGATTTATGATGATTTTGTAATGATATTGTTACATCGTGACGACTGCACGATTCTTCTCTTTCGGGTATCAGTTATTAGAATTTAATTAAGCGAATAAACGGATGACACATGTTCTATTACGTTGTAGATCGCGACGATTACGCAACTGATCTTTTCCGGGAATCGGTTACTAGAATTCGGCTAAACGGATAATCCCTATTATTCTTATCGCGGAAGAACAACATGTGTACAGATATTTTCCTTAACGAAATCACACACACACACACACACACACACACACACACACAC